TATTAAGGTGGGGGACTGCAATGAAGGAGCCGAAGAGCGGCTCGTTCGTTCTCTGGGAAAGAGCCGTAGAAGCGGCTTGTGCAATTTCTGCAGGAGCCGAAGTCGCACAGCCACAGGAGTGGAAGAAGCAGTGCGTGCGATCTTTGTACGTGAAGCAACAGAGTCGAACAGTAACGACGAAAAGAGAAGATGAAGGGCGAACCCTAGATTTCTTCTATGAAGCAACGAATTCGAACGATAGAGAGCGTAAGTTCCTATTTTTCAATTCTCCCTTCCTTTTTATCGTGAAGTTATTGTCGTCGTGCGAAGCAGTGCGTTGTTTGGGCATAACCGCCTGTGTGGGGTCGGAGGAGAGGTATGTCGGTTGCTCTGATTTTTTTTTATTATTATTATATTTTTTTGTTCTAATTTTTATACAGTCAACAATGAATGAGTTAATTACTGGACTACTTTTGCATGTAAATACGTTACCAACTTTGCATATTATTTTTCTCTACACTGCACATTAATTTTAGATGTAATTGTTATTTACTGAGCGGTAGCTCATCCAATAATTTTGGGATATTTTCAGGAGACATTGCTGATAGGTGAATGGTTGAACGACCATGATTTGCGTACAACTATATAGGATCGGATGAGAGGTTCCTTTTTGTATATTTTTGTAGTTGTGGAATAATTTTGTAGGTGAAAGTTGACATGAAAGAAAAAAAAAAACTTTTTGTCTGCCTATATACATCTTTGACTTTATATGAAATGTTTTGTTAAGATTGGAAGTTGTTATATTTTTAGAGGCACTAAATTATATCTTGAGAAGTTTTTAGATTTATATTTTATGTTTCTCTGATATTGAAATGCTATGTTCTATCATTTAAGTTTGATATCTGTTCCAGCCTCGTCTATACGAGCTCCCCAGGTCGGATCATGATAGACGCTAAGGTCAACCCATTTAGACTCCAACCTGATCCATTGACTCATTTTGACACCCCTAGTATCGTTGTTTATATATTTTGATAAAATGAAATAATATTTATGAAAAAGTTTATTTTGAATAATTAGACATATTAGTGGCTATGTAGTGTGATAATTATTTAAAATGGAAAATGAAAAATAATTTGAAATATTTCAAAAATAATTTATGGGATTTGCATGTTATAACTCAGCATGACAGGACATGCCCCATTAGTGGGTTTGTTCAGGTTGGGTTGTGACACAGATCGTAAACAATGGGTGATGGGGGTCTGAGAGACTGTAATTTGTGGATGACAGGAGTTGGAGGGCCGCAGTCTTTGGGGTGACAGTGGTCAGAGGGACAATAGTTAAGGTTAGTTGGGTAGAGATATAACATTAGTTGATGGACATAAAATGATCTGACAGAGTTTGGCAGACAGATGGTGGTACAACTATAGTCGGTGGATAAGTGGTGGTCCGACGGTCGATGGATGAGTTGTGGTCTAATGATGGTCGATAGACTGGCGGTGGTTGATAGAAGTTCATTGACGGTGGTGCTTGGGTAGAACATTAGGATCCTTGAGACCTCAAATGTTTCTCTAATCTCTAGCCAACAAAGATCCAATCCCACTTTCATGTGAGTGATGCTCAATAAAGTTTAGTAAATTTCAAAGTTCAATTGGTGATTGATGTTTGGTGATCAACTAAGCTAACTTGAGGCAGTTCAATTGATCATCTTGATCAATCATAAACTCAAAGGGCTAGTGATGCTAGGTTTCATGTATGGGGTTCGTAGTAAAGAGGTTTGAGTCATAATTGAGGTTAAGCTCGGTGAGCTAGTGGGATGGACGGGAATGATGAAATCAGAACATAGTGCGAATCGACGTGTGTGCGTGAGCGTACTGGTGCGCGAGCGGCTAAGCAGGCGAGCGAGTTCGAGCGACTAAGCAGGACTACTGCAGCACGCTTGAGCGGGTTGGGCCGGCGGGGTGTTGTGTGCGTGAAATGCCACCTGAGTCAGTTTCATGTTAATTTCATATTTATGGGTCAACTCGAAACTTACATGGTTTTATAGAAGGGTCGTATTTCTGAATCCAAACTTGGCACGTCTGACAAATGGGTTGACCCGAATTCAAAATTTTATGAGTTAGATATGAGCCGGATTTCAAGTTAGATTAAATATTGACCCCCTAATTTTAAGACAATGATTGTGATAAAGTTGCATTATTTTGAGAAAACATATTTTATATCATATATACGCTTTAAAAATGGAATAATATAAATAAAATTTGCCGCCACCGCGTGGCATTGGACATCAAATCGGCGCTTTTAGCGTTTTATCCGTTTGTCTTTGTATCCAATTTTCAACTCCCATTCGGCAAGTTGCGTGTGATAGGAAGTGACGTATATCGATGGACATCTCTGCTGAATGCCGCCTGAGGAAGATCTCCGGCCATCTTCAAGCGGACGCCGTCGGAGATACGCATTATCAGTTGAGTACCAGCTCCACTTCTGGGGAGTTCGTCTATGGTGAGTTGTTTCGATTGCTCTGCTCTTTAACTCCACGTCTAGGGTTTTTGCGGACTCCGTTTTTTGGTTTTTAAAGAGCTTCAATTCATTGAAATTTTGAGGATTAATGGACCTTACTGCAGCTCCATTACACGGTGGGTCCCTTCTGTTTGATGGCAATTTCAATCTCATGACTGTTATAATTATTATTTTTCCATTTGTTTTCTGGGAAGGGGATCTTGTCTGCTCGAACTATCAGGCATGGGAACTATTGGCCGTAGATTTGGTCCACATGTCGAATAAAATATACTAGGCAAGTCAGTGAAATGAAGCACAGGTGATTTCTGGTCCACCCCTTGTTCCCGCGAGTTACATCACATCGTCCTAAAACTGGCACCTGGTGGCCTTCCACATGTAGCATTCAAGAACCTGACGCCGGAGGTGGCGAAGGTGCATTCCAGGTTTGAGCAACCGATGACCAAAAATGGAGCAAAATCCCTTTTTTTCCTTCTGGCAGACTGCGCCTGGATATTTTTGTCAGCGTTTATAGAGCTAGACCGACTCCGGAAAAATAACTAGCCAGCAGTTCTACATATTGTTGCCTGAGAAGTACTTGCAGACTGTTCAGTGACTGACACGTAGCCAATATTTTGTCTGTCTCTATGGAGATGAAGAGTAATGTCCAGTGCTTCCATGACAATATTTACATTTAATAGACATTGCCTTGTCAGTTGATTAGCTAGTATCACATGGCCACCTCCACAGCAGCCAATAGGTAGGTTTATATCGCCTGAATTAGTTATCAGAAGGAAGGTAGGGAAGAAGCCATTGTGGGTTGAGAATATAATAGGCCGAGTAATCTGCCAAGAGCTTCTATTGTAGTCATTTTCGTTGAGAATATAATAGGCCGAGTATTCATACCCTCTTTCTCTTCATTCCTATTCCACCCTTCTCTCTTTCACTTTATCATGATCCATACCACTTGAAGTATTTTCATAGTCAGATTAATGTAACTAGTAAGTCATTAAACTTGATGTTAATAATTGGTGTGATGAGTAGGAGTTTTAACACCCACATCCAAGAACTTTTATTGTAGCCATTTTCATTGAGAATATAATAGGCTGAGTATTCATACCTTCTTTTATCACGATCCGACTTGGAGGCTCGAATTAATGAGATGGGAACAGAAGGTTGGATAATTGATTAAAAAAAATCAATTACTAACTATTTACAATGCGCAGAAAGAGCCATTAAAATATAAACAATTTAAAAATTTAGTTATAAATACCTTTCTCTTGGAGCGTCTTGCTTACAATATATATTATTTCCTCTTCTATTCATTTTTAAGCTTTTGATTAATACTTGCATTTATTCTTAAATATAGAAGTGAGTCATAAAAAAACTTAGCGAACACATCATGCATCTAAATTGTAATAACATAAGATATCTCAAGCAGGGTGAAGGCTGTTCCTTAGCCAGACATTACACATGGGAGCTACTTGCACTCTTGGTTTCTCTTTTGTCGTCACTTAAGGTGGCCAGGGTCTACAAGATGGCAAAAGACATTCATATCATCACAGAGTATTTATAGAAGAAGCTGGTGTTCCATCTCAAACAGGAGCCTAAAAGCTTCGTATAATAAATCCTATTTCACCATCCTCTTGTTGTGGCAGATTACAAAATGAGAGGAAGGATATACCCTTGTCAGCTATAGAGAGGTTGGTAGGTAGCCTCTTGGTTATGGCATGTTGTAGTTGTTGGTGAACTGGTTGTATAGGAATTGTTAGCTATTGAAAGATTGTCAATGTGATATGATACGGCTGGTTGATCTCCAAAATTACTCGAGTGAATATTCTTAATAGATGGAATATCTAATGTTGTAAACTTAGAGCAGATCCATGAATCTTTATATTTTTTTTCTTTTGGTATGATGTAGAATTGTTTTTCATGTCATAAAGGAAAACTAATTTCATAAGCTTATTATCACAGATAATTAGATTGATTTCTAAACACACATTAGTGTATATTTGAGCCACAAATTAATCCTTCTTACTTTTTCATCTTTGTCAGGACAGCGTTATAGTGTTGTCCTTCCTGAGAAGTTGCAGACTGGGAAATGGAATGTATACAGGTGTGGTTCTGTGCATCCAAAAGTGAAGCCATTTATAGTGTTCATTGTTGGTGGTTGTTATCGTTATTTATTCTCTGTAAACAGATCTGCACGGTCACCATTGAAACTGGTTTCTAGATATCCAGAGCATCCAGATATTGGAACATTACATGATAATTTTGTGTAAGTTTGTCTGTGCCCATTATTTAAGCTCGGTTATGAATCAGAAGCTCCATTATTTGATCGAATTTAAATTTAATCTATTAGTATCTTCAGCTATATGTCTTCCTCGTTAATTCTTGTTCTTTGTTTCTTCTTTTCTTAAATGTATATGTGTGCTTATTAGTGTGGTGACGTTTATTAGTATTGGGAGAAATTGTTACTAGGATTTCTTTTTGAACATTTAGGCAGATCATCATTTAGTTATACTGAGTTACTGTGGATTAAAATTTTCTTTAATTTACTATTTCTCTTTTTCCTTTCACTAGAAATTTATTGAGTTTATATATGCTGAATTAGGCATGCAGTCGACACTTTCTGTGACCACAAGTATTTAGGGACAAGAATACGTGCAGATGGAACAGTTGGGGAGTAAGAACTTGTCTATTTTCTTCTTCTTCACTATGCTCTGAAGTGCTAAGCCTTCTGGCTAGTTTTTTGGCCATTCTTGTCTTTATATTCTTAACCTTTGAAGGTACAAATGGATGACTTATGGGGAAGCAGGTACATCCCGATCAGCAATTGGTTCTGGTCTATTATATCACGAGGTCCCTAAAGTATGTTGTTTATTTTGAAATGATATTTTTGTGTTATCTACATCTCCCATTGCTCGTGATAAAAAATGCAAATATTAAATGCCAATCCATCATTTTTTTCAATTGACATATGCCTTGACATATTCTACCTAATGAGGTAAATATGAGTTAATATTCTTGTAATTAAAAATTTTGACAGCATGGATGCATTGGACTATATTTCACAAACAGACCAGAGTGGATCATTGTAGATCATGCGTGCTCAGCATACTCTTACATATCAGTGCCATTATATGATACTCTTGGTATGGTTGTGTGCTCCAAAAGTTAATTTTCTTTTTTGGCCAACGGCCCTCTCCCTCCCTATAGAGTTGCACATACCAAACTGTAGCACCATATTTTTTCGCAGGACCTGATGCTGTGAGTTATATTGTTAATCATGCTGATATACAAGTTATTTTTTGTGTACCACAAACACTGAGTAATGTAAGCGTCTGGCCAGAATTTATTAGTTTTTTCCATAAGAGCATCTTTACTCTCCAACTAACATTTTTTAACGTATTTTTTTGCTTCTCTGTTTTGACAGTTATTAAGCTTTTTTCATAAGATTCCTTCAGTGCATCTGATAGTGGTAAGCAAACCTGCCATGCCCACTATAGCTATTTTCACTACTAAAAATGCAGGCCAATTTTATTTCTATCATATCATAATGATAGGTAGTTGGGGCATCAGATGTGAATATACCTTCAGCTACATCAACAAACCAACCGGCAATTATTACTTACTCTAAGCTTCTTGAACAGGTAACTGTTTTCAACAATGCCGGCTTTATTTATTTATTTTAGAATTCATAATAAGTGAACCAATTTAAGTAGTTGGATGAGATTGGACTTTTTTTAAAAAAAAATTATGGCTGATATGATAGCCAATGTAATTGAAGATACAAACTAATGTTGAGGAAAAAAATGATAAATTTGTACATTGATCATATTAACTAAGAAATTTGAAACCAATAGAAAAGTTCTGCTTATGGTTAATATTCTGAATTGATTCCTACATTTGGGACAGTTAAAGGTTTAGTCATGTTTATGTCAATTACATTATTTTAACTGAATCGTTTTTTGGTAATGGAGCATGCTTTTTATATCATGATCAAAATTGGTGTGTTAAGGATAAGAGTAGCTCACATGACTTGTGAATTCATGCTAAATCTGTCTAATGCCCGATTTATTAAACTTAGGATTCAAGAAGGGAAGATGGGAGAGAAATGGGTTATGATATTTTGTGGGATTTAAAGCTTTCATTTTTGTTGTTTTAAAAGAATTTAAGTTGCTCATCTTTGCTTTTTTTTTTTTATAGCATAATGGAGAATACTTTCTCTTTCTCTCTATCTCTCTCTCTCTCTCACACACACAGTGGGTGACGGTGGAGGCTACCGGCGACGGATGGTGGCAACGACGGCAGCAACGACGGCGGCTGGCAGTGGATGCGACAGTGTAGCCGGAGGTGGTGGCTTGCGATGGGTGGCGTAGGCTAGGGGCAGTGGTAGTTGAAGATGGTGGCCGATGGTGATGGTGGTTGTGGTGGTCGGCAGGTGGTGGAGGTTGGCGGAGGCCTGTGGAGGTTGGCGGCGGTCAAGCGAGCATTCTTATAGTGTAAACCATCATCGCTCAAAACTGGGCGAGTTTGATTTACCTAAAAAATGAACTAGAATGGTTTACACTACATTTATTGTATCTCTTTTTCATCCAACCAAGCACCAACATTTTCAAAACCCCTGTATTTGGAATACTTTATACCCATTTGGAATCTAACCAAACAACCCCTAAATCTTAATTAATTAAACCCTTACCTAATTGAGTAATCAAGTAGCCCATTTGGTTCAGCCATTACCCAATGGAACTATCAAGTATTTTGCCAGCTTATTCTTCTCACGTCTTTCCAAATCTAGCTATTTGATCCAATGTTTGAGACGCACAATGGAGATGCTACCGAGCTTAGTCTTCCTAGGCTCCCTTTTCCCATGGTCCTCAGCTCCCTCTAGAAAAATCAAAGCCATTAGGGGTCAGGCATATGATCTTAACCATTGATTGATGATGGCTTGGGGCAAGATTGACTTTCCGCTGCTTGTCCTCATTTTGAACCCAGGGTTGGAAGGAATAGTGAGGAAGCTTTTCTTTTTTGAAAGAGAAAGAGGTTTCTGAAACGTGAGGTAGAATTCTTTGAGCTTAGGGATCAAAAGAAATCCTAATTCCTTTTCTGTGGAGGCTTTTGGTATAAGAAGTAGGGAGTATGACCAAGGTTGTGATCATGTAGACGTCCAGCATAGTCCAAGTAGTTGCATACATCATTTCTCTTTTAGTTGGCTTCATATCTGCTACAATAATGTACTAAAGCTGTCGAGCGTAGTGAACATGAAAATTAGGGTTTTGAGGGAGCCACATATCGTGGGTTGATTGAGTATCAAGAGTCGTGGGCTTCTTCGTGCGAGAGGGATGTGGATCATGGTTGATTAGGTCAACGGCAGAGTCTATTATGTATTATTTTTATGCTCTTTTTGTGATAGACAATGAAAATCCTTTTCTTCCGGGATTCAATTTTTGATCGAGTATGAGACTGAAAATTCTAAGGGTGGCTATTTCCTTGTATGAATATGAGGCTTGCTTTTTGTTGATTGCTTCTCATATTATTTTGCTCTCTCCACCCAACTGTATTTAGTTATTTGTTGAAAGTGTAACTGAATTTTGCCATTGTTTCATTCAATTTGATGTTCTTTATTTTATCAGAAATTTCAGTTGTTTTTGTAGTTTTTGTGATCAACTTTCATTTCCTTAATTTGTAGCTGAAGGTATTTATTCATTCTAGGATTTTATCAATGTTGGTTTTCATGAAGTGTTGCAAATATTGTTTAAACTTAGCATCTTGATCTTCTGTGAAATTTGGATGTCCGCTGCATTGATTCCCTGAAAAACCGAAATTGCATGCTAGTAATTCATTAGAATTCTTAGGCTCAGACACTCTAGCATCCATCAATCTCTTTCCTCCGCTCTTTCTTTTTGTTTCTTATTGTTCCTGTTATTGTCACAAAATTGGTTCATAGTAGCTTAAGGACCAATAAATTATATATATATATA